TAACTGAGTGACACTGTTTGTCATACTTCAGATACTTGTCCACTGGAAACTTGACTTTGAAGCCTGAGTTTTTGGAGAGAGCTCTCAGTTGCTTCTGCTCTCAGTTGGATTTTAATAGAGCCTTGTGAAACAGTGACAGGTCTAGATAAACTCAGCAGGAATTTATTTTGCAAGCTCTGTTGACTTTCTCACTTACCCCTGTTTCCTACCTAATTTTTCTGTCTGGCTCACTCACTCAGGCAGTGATTTGCCCAGTATATATTTTCAAAGAGTTGAATGTTTGGCTTGTCTTCCTTTCTCATTTCTGAACTCTTGCATCCCAACCTTACTCTTGTCCTGTTTCATCCTGGCTTCTTCATTTTTCATTAAAAAAGCAAAAGCAAAAAAACACATAACAAACCAACACAAAAACAAAACAAAGAGAAAAGCAAATTTACGTTTTAGATGCAACTGAGACCTGCTGTGATGATTTATGGTAATTACTGACTGAGAGCAGTAAACTCATCTTTGCCTTAGACTTCAGTTCTGCTGGGGTTTTAGTTACATTAATGCAGGCAGAAACTCTCAACTGTTTCTCTAGGTTTCCTTGTTTATTTTAAAATAATCAGTGAATCCTGAAATTTAATATTGCCAAGCTATCTGTTTTTTTACCAGAAAGCTAAAACAACATTACTGTAGCAGTGAATGTTCTCACTGTTGTCCTCCACCTGTAGCATTCCTAGTTCTTTTTCAAAGTACACACTCCCTTTTTCATTATCTTCTCATCTCTCCATCTATTTAATCATTTTTTTTTCTTTAAGAATGATCCAGACTCCATACAGGTAGATGGTTGCTGCTGGTGTTGCTTTTAAGCTAACAAAATTCCCCTGCCAATCTCCTGGTGGTGATCACTTATTTATTTATTTTAGCCCAGAGCTATGGTAAGTAGTCAGAAGTGGAAGAATTTCTACCCATACAATGCATTCGGAGCCGTAGAAATATCTAGTTTTATGCATCTCCAACCCTAGAGCTGTAGGGGCAGATGATAAACCACAGCTCTTCCTTCAACATCATGAGAGTGTTAGCAAAAATGGGGTCTAGGTGCACAGATGATATCCAACATAAAAACCAAGGTATTGGCCTACTTGGGAAAATACCTGCTCCTGAAAACTTTTGCTAAAGTAAAGAAGACAGCATTTAGCTCAGGATGATATAATAATGGTAACAGAAGACTATTTGTAGTGCCATTCTAGTGATAAATTAATACTTGAAATGTAATGTATTCAGAATGGTCATCAGGGCACTCTAATTAATAATAAGATAATCCTACATGGAGCTGTCTTAATTTGGGGTTTAGACCAAATATTCTCTTAATAAAAGTTGCTTACTGCTACATTTCTACTACATTATTAGTGGTGAAAGGATAAACATGGAAGATGTGGACCTGCTGCTGAAAGGGGTGGGTTATTTACTGACCACAGATGCCTGTGTTAAGGCTGAGGATGCTCAGTACCCTCTGTCTGGGTCCTCACTGCCCAGGTCTCCCAGGCTTTTGTGCCTGGAACAGGGTTCAAGGAGCAGTGGAAAACTATTGAGTCAGGGATCATCTCTGAAAATTTATGAAGATTGAGGGAGGTTCTTGGTGAACGAAGAACCTGCTGTTGAACCCATCTTCAGCAAGGGCAAGAGGAATTGACAATTGATCAGCTTCCCCTCAACTCCTGGGATGATCACAGAGCAAGGCATCTTGGAAGCAGCGTATGGTCACATGAAGGAGAATGTGGTGACTGGAAATATCCAGAATGGATTTACTCAGAGTGAATTGTATCTGGCTGAGTTGCTTGCCTTCTCTGATTAAATGACTAGATCTGTGGACGAGAGTAGAGCAACGGATGTTTAGCTTGACAGGAGTAAGTCTTTGGACACAGTCTCCAAGATTGTCCTTGTATCCAAGCTGGGATCATAGAATTCAGAATATCCTGATTTAGAAGGGACCCACGAGGATCATCTCATCTAGTCCAACTCCTGTCTCCACACACAACCACCCCAAAATCAAACCCAATGTCTGACTGTGTTGTCCAAATGCTTCTTGAACTCCATCAGGCTTGGTGCTGTGACCACTGCCCTGGGGAGCCTGTCCCAGTGCCTGATCACCCTCTGTGTGCAGACCCTTTCCCTAACCCCCAGCCTGACCCTCCCCTGTCCCAGCTCCATGCCGTTCCCTCGGGTCCTGTCGCTGTCCCCAGAGAGCAGAGCTCAGCGCCCGCCCCTCCGCTCCCCCGTGAGGAAGCTGCAGGCCGCCATGAGGCCTCCCCTCAGCCTGCTCTGCTCTGGGCTGAACACACCAAGGGACCTCAGCTGCTCCTCATATGTCTTGCCTTCTAGACTCTTCACCATCTTTCTAGCCCTCCTTTGGGTGGATGCTTTCCGGTAGTTTGTATCCTTCTTATACTGGTGGTCTTAAACTGCACACAGCGCTTGAGGTGATGTCACATCAGGACAATCCCTTCCCTCGACTGGCTAGCAGTGCCCTGTCTGATGCACCCAGTACAGCTGACCCTTTTGGCTGCCATAGTATACTCCAAATGGATGGACTACTAGCTGGATGACAATTTGACTGGATCACTGGGCTCAAAGTGCGATGGTTAATGACTTGTATTCTACCAAGAGGCTCATTCTAGGTAGAGGACCACCAGGGGCTATGCCGGAAAATGTCCTATTTAATGGCCTGAAGGAGCATATATTGGAATGTGGTTTTGCAAAGGATCAAACTGCAGGGTACAGCCCTCACAAGAAAGGGCAACGCTGCCCTTCAGAGGCTCCTAGATAAACTGGAGAAATGGGCTGACATGGACCTCGTGAAACTCAACAAGGACAAAAGCAAAATCCTTCCCCTGGGATGGATGAGTCCCCTGCAGAGACAGGCTGGGCAGCAGCTCTGCAGATGAGGACATGGGGGACCTTACTGACACTAGGCTAAACACAAGTCAGCTGTCTGCTCCAAGAGCAAAGCTGGCGGAATACCATGGCTGAGCATTTCTTATCCTTTTTGCCGTGTTGTTTTGCAGTTCTGAAGGCTCAAACCATGTCTGGTGAGGTCTTAATGCAGCTGCTGGACTTTGTTCTGACATGACAGAGAAATGCTCGTGCATGGCTTTCTGCTGTCTTGCCTGTGGGGTGACAGAACATGGTGAATGCATTGCAATGAACAGTTGAGGATGGTAACGTTTTAAAATAAATTGTTTGAATATATTGAAGGTTTCACAACATGGACAAACAAATGAGAAATGCAGACCTGGCTAGTAGCTCATAGTGGTATAATTGATTTGCTCTTCATGTGAATAGCCTAAGCAATTAAACTAAAAATAATCAATATCAAGTGATGGTTGCTGTCTGCCCTGAGTTTAGCTATTTTATGTCTGTGCTTGATGGATATAGATGTATTTGTAGTTTGTACTAGATATTCTCTGACTATGAAATTGCAGCAGCAGGTTGTGAAACATGTATGAAATTAAAATTTTGAATGCATATAGGGCATAAAAATACAGTCAGTTGTGGAGGTTTTGCTATGCAGGGCTATAATGTGCCTTCCCAAATAGCTGGCAAAGCTCATCAGACCTTGCAAGGACAAGAAAAAAAGAAGAATCCTTAAATAGCTTCAAAATCTACGCAAATATTTTTGCCTTTTTTTCTCACTAGTGGATTTCCCCTTACCCTGGGCTGGGAGGTGTTTAAAAGGAAGAAGTTTAAGTTCCCACCTTTAAGTTTGGCACCATTTTTATCATGTTTACATGTTATTTACTTCTATCTTTTGTGGGGACTGGTGTGGGCAGGATGGATTCAGAGGAGGAAAAACCTGGAAGGCTTCAAGAAAAAGGGATGGGCCAGGTGTCCAGGAATAGTTTTTTATCTTTATTCATTTTTTTTTTTTCCGGCAAATTGAAACCTTTTCCTAGCTTAGAGAATCAGATTTGTTTGTTTGTGTGCTTTTGTTGTTATTCATTTAAATGAAATCTGGTTTATAAAAGTGGAGCAGTTGTCATTGATCTCGATGTTCTTATTTTCTTCTTTTGCTGCACTTTCATTTAGAGTAACAAGACGCTAACCAGGAAAGGCAAAAGAGAATAAAGTTTGGGATGCTAGCTGGGTGAAGGAGTGTTTCTGAGTTAAATCTGTTCACCTGAGTTTTGTATTTTTCAGTAAAAGCAAATAGCATAACAATGGATGCCAAATGGGTTAGTGGTGAACTTTATGTTAGGACTGAATGACAGATCTCATAATAAGATGCAAGTGAAGGACAAGGTCATGGCTGATAGTCCTTCCACTGTAATGTTTTTGTGCATGCTGTTTATAATGCATTATTAACTGCCTTCTTTTTATTTTTATTATTTTTTTTTTCCGTGTGTGTGCACATAAATGGACCTATACTTCTTCCTATACTGATCTTTACCCTGTAACAGATGAGCAGACATTTACATCTTATGGCTGTTACTAGAATCTTCACAAAGCCAAGCCAGAGCTTATAGACAACGTTAGGAAAAGAATAGGAATGATATTTATAGACATTTATATTCCTAATGGAAAATAAATACTTTGCAACACATGGAAGGCCAGTGCTGACCATAGTCTGGTAAGGCTGTGCTGTGTTCCATGCCCTGGCTGTCCTAGTGCACTGCCAGGGGCTGCTGTCAGATCGGTTAGTCTGGCAGTCTGCAAGGAGAAGAAAAACTATTCCATGATCAATGCAGAGCTGTTTTCATTAGAAGCTGTCATGTCCTTTATTTGTGTTGCATGTAAACCCCAAAGGAAATTCGTCTTTTAATCACAGGTTAAAACTAGGAAAAGAAACTTAACAGCTTCCTTGGAGATTAAAAGAAAAAAGTGTCTGATTTTGTACTCATTAAAAACATTCAGTTCGACTCCCAAACATGACCAGAACAAATGTTTTGAGATAGAAGATCTGTCTGAAAGTTACTTTTAAAGGAAAACAGGCTCTAATGTTTTATGCCGTTTTTTTGCAGGAAATTAAAATGCATGACTGACAGTGAAACTGTTGCACCTGACTGGCCTTACTACAAAACCATTGATAGGATTTTATCCAAAGTGACAGACCACAGCGATGTGAAAATGCATGAAAATCAGCAACCGGGTCCTTCTACATCACAGACGGAGGCCTCACAGTCTCCATCAGCTAAGTCAACACCTCTGTATTTGCCATATAACCAGTTTACATACGAAGGAAGGGAAGAGTGCTTTGAAGATGAACATTCAGAGAGCTCGTCAAGCTTACTTTCTTACAAGCTGAGGTAGTATCTAATTTTTTTCCCCTTTCTTGTATTTCAGAGAATGAACCCGGATCAGCTATCTAAAAGGGAAATCCTGGAACATTTTCCTCTAATGGCTGTTGTATCTTTCTTGTAAATCACAAGTGAGATATATTTCCCAGTGTCAGCCTTTCTGCTGAATTAGGGCATTTTCTTTCTTCCTTTATGAGAGATTGGAAGAGAGTAGGAGGACTGGGCAAAAAGTCATGTAATATTGCCAAAATTCAGCATGCATGTCACTGCTCACATGAGGTAGAGTGTTTGTAATAGGAGTACAGGCATGTTCAAGACAGTACTGAGAAAGCAGTAAGAGATATAGCATACTGCTTAGATGACTCTTGGCTTGCTCTAATTTTATTTTGGTATGAGTAAGCGAACTTTCCCTGGCTTCAGCTATTGTTAAAGTGGAGAAAAGTAGCATGCTAAATATTGCTGTGGACACCAAAATGCAACCATTTTAAATACAATTGAGAATGTCACTTTTTCAAAGTAAATGCTAGTTTGAGAGTGCAAACGTATTGACTTTTTTTGATAAGTTTGTAGTAGTTTGGAAGATAGCATTTTAACAAAAGGCAGGGTTGTACACTGGATACAAACTTTAGATTTTACTAGTCACATTTTTTGTCCAGAGTAGTGTGAGATAAGAGTTGATTGCAGTTTTATGGCAGCAAAAAAGTCAATCCTGGAGATCCTTACCATAAGTCTGTGAGCCTTAAACTATAACAGTAAAATGATCTGTCAGTCATGCAACTGAGAAGGTGTTAAGCTGGAAGAAGAACCAACGCAGCAAGTCTGGATTATTGTTTCCAGGCTTACTCTTGGATGAGTAAAACTAGGATAAATGCATTCAATCATTTAAGCAATGGTCTTTGAATGGTTGATTATTTTAAAAACTTTCTTTTGGCAATTGAAAATATATTATGGCTATCACGCGTGTGATTTCTGAGCTGTTGCAGCTTTTTTGTTCACAAGCAACAATTTATTTTTTTCATCATAGATCATTGTAATGGTTTGATAACCCTGATGAATGATCTCTCTGCAGTTGCCAAGATCAGGTTTCTTATGCAAGGACTTTCTGCTCCCCCAAGTCATAATTTGATTTCCAATAATATTTTTTAATAGTTAAGAGGTTACTTTTCCACAGCTATGGGGCAAATTTTATTCACTAGGCTGTTGTCGTGGTTTAGCCCCAGCAGGCAGCTGAGCACCACCAGCTGCTGGCTCCCTGTCCACAGGTGGGTTGGGGGAGAGAATCAGAAAGGTCCAAGTGTGAGAGCTTGTGGCTTGAAGTTAAGGTAGCTTACCAGGGGCAGCAGAAGCCAAGCAAACCGAGAAACTGGTTGGCTGCTGCCCACCAGCAGGCCTAACAGTGGCCTTGGGAAGACAAATGCCATCACCCTGAGTGTGTCCCCCCCCTTCCCTTCCTGTTCCCTGGCTCCATCACCGATGATAAGTTATCATTTGATAACTTAAGGTTGTATTTTTTCAGTTGCAAGATGTTAAGTTTCTTCACGTTAGAGACAGGACAATTCCTGGACAACATCGGTTTTGTACCGTGGGTGGCTGTGAGGGGAAGGCAGAGGTCACCACACCAGGTCTCATTGCAAGAGTGTAGACAAGCCATCTCAGAAGTCAAGCTAATCAACCACAACTGTGCATTCATTGTGCTTACAGTTTGCAGAGACCCACTCTCATGTAGATGCTTTCATTTACAGGTGGGCTTTCATCTTAGCAGACTTAAACTACTCTGCCTTTTCTCCACAGTGATAAGATTTGGAAAATTTAGGCTATCATGCGTTTTAGCCTGCTTCAGGTTCTGTGTTTTTTTTTTAGTCCATTTTTGTGTTTTTCTTTATTTGTTTATTATTTTTTAGTAAAAAAATATATATGTATTTGAACTTAGCCAAGTTAGGAACTATTGGTCATTGAAATCTAGCGTTTAATGGTGCAGGAGGTTTTCAGCTGGCTGCAAGCCTACATGGCAGGTGATGATGCTCTGTCCATGCTGTAGCTCAGGCTGCAGTGCTACTGATGCCTGGTAAGGATGACTGCACAACTGGCTTCATGAGCTGCAGGGAAGGACAGGTTGACCGTCACTGTGGTAGGACCTCCATAGTATGTTGCTCCCTAACTTGCTAATGTAGTTGTGCTCTCACAGTCTTATTCTCTACTATAAAATTTGTTTGTGCAATGGAATACTGTGCATATCGTTTAAAAACAAGATATGTACATATTCAAAAGTTAAAATTCAGTTCTGTGTTTAAGGAAAAAAAAATGTTGAGCTGTGTTTAAAGAAAAAAAAAGTTGAGCTGTACATACCACTTGAGAGATTAGTATAACATTTCAGGTGAGCGTCGTGACCAGATTAAAAATCTGCAGGTACTTGTGATATTAATGGGACATGTACCTGGGAGGAAGAAAAGTGGTATTAAAATATTCACAGGGGGTTTTGAAAAGCTTGTACAGCTTTGACCTGTTTAGTTAAGTCTGATGAATTAGAAAAGAATATGTACTCCTTTTTTTTTTTGGCCAGAAGGAAATACAGCACTTGCTAATGGTATCAGATGGGTTAAAATCACTTAAAGCTGCCATGGTAAGACAGGGAAGATAATTCTTTTGGAGTTACTAATGGAAAATTATGAAATGAGAAGCAATTTTCAGCTTAAGCAATTAGTATGTCATCCTGTATGTGAAAAACACTTTGAAATAACCAACAAGAGCAAAAAGAATTTGCATACAAAATTTGGGTCCCTCTTGGCTTTTTTTTTTTTTTGGTAAATGTCCTTGACTCTAAACAGTACACGGTTGATCTAACATATTCAAAAAATGTACTAAAGACAACACTGGGATTTGAAATCAAAAGAATGCTTCAGATCCCCAATCTCCCTCTCAACTTTATTATTTTATGGCTATATAAAACACTTAGTTTGAAAAATATACACATATATCTATATGTAAAATATTGGCGTGTTTTTCGTCTATATATTTTATGACTATGTAGTTCTTATTTGTCTGTGAAGCAGACTATACACAGATCGGTTAAGTGTGCAAAGTAAGCTTATGCTGTGGGATTTTTTTTTCTCCAGTAATAAAAATAATGATGTTATGGCAACAATAGATCAGTGAAAAAACATCAAAGAGCACGTTTTTTTTTAAAGCCAACTTTTAGGCTTCTGAAAATTTTACTGTTATTCCCTTAAACTCTTGAACACAGCTTTTAAGCATGAGCTTTCTGTTTTTCCATGGTATCCTTGATCATAGCAGGAGGATTCTTGGCTGTATAAGTTACAACATTATAAAAATATATATTGAATTTAATATTTAGCTTTTATGACAGAGAAAAATGTCAAAATTTACACTTCTATCAATACATACACACTCTCAAGCTAAAAATAGTTGAAGCTAGATTCCTTAACATTTTATTGGAGTCTGGGAGCTTCTTAGAAAAGCTTCTTAGAAAAACTTATTTTTCCTAGTTAGTGATAATACAATTAATGTGAGATCAAATTAATTTTTATTTCTGTTGCAATTCACAGATGAGGAAAAACATTTGGAATTCCTATTTCCTTTAATGGGATGCCTGCTATTTGTTCAGTATTGCATGAAAACTGCTCTTGGGCTTTAAGAAAGCTTATATTGTACTGCAGTGTCCATAAAACATCTGACAATGGTAGAATTATTGTTGGATAATATAATGTGATGTGATGGAGTCTTGTACTGCAGCTTAAACTTTTAAATTCAGATTTCATAACAATGCTATAAATGACTTTTTATCTAATTGAAAACTGTTTTTTCACCCTGTGGATTAATTTATAGTCTTGTTTCTTCATTGTTAAAATAATGACAAAACATAATTATGCAGATTGTGAATGTGGTTCAGACCTCATCAGTTTTGCCATTTCTATCAAACTGAAAATGGGGGTGAAAAGAAGTTACTTCCGTAAATTAATAGACTATAATAAAACCACAATGCCATCTAGTCTGACTTCTGTTGAACACCGTCGATGTATTTGAAGTCAGTTATTTTGATGTGTAGCCCAGAATGTTACAGAGGGGATTCTGTGGTGTGGTTCCCTTCAGCAGAGGGCTACTGCATTCTGAAGCCCCTGTCTCTGCTCTCCTCCACTTCTCTGTTCCTAGGATTTGTTTGACTCTTGGAAATTTTTCATGAGATATCCAGTCTAGATCTGATATATTTAGAAGATGGAGAAATCACTCTCCTCTATAATAATCTGGTCCAGAGATTAATCTCTTGCTTAAACCAGTATGTTGTTTCTAATTTGAATATAGTGAGATAAACTTTCAGATGCTACTTCTATTTATCTTTCCTTCCACTGTATTTGAGATATTTTTAGTATTTTTTTTGCTTTCTATCTAGATGTAGTCATGTACCATCTTTGGTATACTTTCATTTTTAAAAGGTAAATTGAATAAATTGGTACACATGGTTTACACACAAGAAAAGAGTAAGAATAGGTAACCAGAATTAACCAGGATATGTATTGTTTAATAGAAGTGCATTAAAACTTGGTAAGGATGCTAATTCAGGAAATAACAGTTTTGGCAAGTCCTTTAATCTTTCTAAAATCATGCCATAGTTATTTAAAATCTGAATGGGCGGCTTCTACAAAGAAGTTTGAGCTTAAGGCTATGCGCATTATATAGTGCATCTTACCTCATTATGCAGACTTGTTATCATAGTACGATGCTTTGCCCAGCCTCCGAGCCATTTTTTGTGGTGGTTATCTACACTTCAAGGTTGAGTCTTGTAAATTCCTGAATGCATTTGGCTGTATTTGAATGAGCCTAGTTTACCAGAAGATCTAGATTGCTCCGATTCTCAGCCCTCAAACTGTGAAGATCTTTCTGCCATCTCTAATACTAACATTTAGTTCCAGATCATTGTTAGTTCTGTTTCATAAAGATGGTAGAGTGGTCTACTCAAATTTGTTCATAGCTTCAAACAAACAAAAAAACTCCACCAACAACAAAACAAAAAAAAATCCACAACCAAGTCAGAAACAGTAGTTAGTTCTTAATGAATTTTGAAGAAAAAAACAATAGTACTTCATACGCCATGAAGTAGTCAGAAAAGACGAGTTGTTATTGTGGTTTTGTGGAGGTAACACAGGTAATAGACTGATTATTTTGTGTTTTAACTCCCATTTCATTAATTATTCACACATATTTCTTAAATGAGCATCATTGGGTGAGTGTAGGCAATCAATCAAGGAACTTTTTGGACAGTGAATTAAAATGATTTTAGATAGATGTACAGTACACGCATTTGAGACTGGAAGTGTCTTGCCTAGTTATACCTGGAGGTTTTGCTTTGTTCCTCTTGGACCCCAACACACACTGTCATTTCTTGTTCAGCCTTATAGATGAGAGGGAAAGCATTGCTTCTCTTCCTTCCTTTGAATCCTGCCTATTTGTTTAAGGCCATTGTGTGGAAATAGCTTTGCAAGGTTCTGCTTGGAACATGGTCCTAATGCCAGAGCTCTTCTCTGTCATAAACACTGGAGGTCCAAAAGTACCACCAAGTTGTATCTGAGGTCCTGGATTTCACAGACCACTCTTCCCTTCAGATCAAAATCTACCTTGAGAAGTCTCTCAAGGCTTGGTGATGAGTAATGATGCTTCTTTGGTGGAAGGATGCTATCAGGATCTGTTGCATTCTCATCGTCACAGAGATGTTGGTTGCACAGGAATACAACGTGGAGAATCAGCAACCAGCTGATGTTTGTTACATGAAACATTGTTCATTTCTTATGCTGGTGCCTTGAGACTACCAAACTAGACATACTCCTAGCTGAAACTACTTGAGGATATTGACGCTGACGGGATACTCACTGCTGAACCCTATGTGTTGTATTCCTATCCCTGCTTCCCTCTTGACTTTCTGTTAGAAAAAGTTGGAGAGGTCTCTCTGGCCCTACATAGGAGACCTAGAGCTTCTAAAGAAAGGTGGCTTGGTATCTGAAGAAACTTTTCAAGATTCAAATATGCAGGAATCACTACATTTTATGTTGTTTCATGTCACTGAGTGTCCTTTACTTGTAAACTAGATTCTTTGGATCCTTCTTTCCTTTTATATTTTATTTATTTAGTTATTTATTTATTGGAGACCCTATTCTCAAGAGCTTTCCTTCAAGAGCTATTCTGCAAGAGAAAGAATTATAAATCTTGTCCTTATTATGGACTTGTGAGTCATCATAAAACGTCCTGCATTACTGTGCAGTCTCTAGGACAACCCTTCAAATATTTTTTTTTCTTCTCTTAGAAATAAAGTATATTTTCAATCTTTCAAACCGAAACATTCCATATTTTGTTTGTTTGTTTCTGTCATTCTATGTCTTTCTGTTTTTCTCTTTCTTTGTCTTTCCCTGTCTTTCTTTCTTGTCCTGATTGAAATAAAGATGAAATGGCAGTCACAGCCACCACGAATGATGATGCAATACTCAGTGCAGCTCATTACCATCTACATGCCCCAGATTTTCCCTCTCATTCCTTATTAAGGACCATTCTCACTGCAGCTTGTTTTGACAAGACACAAGCCCTCTTGTGGCTCTGGAAGCCAGCTCTTACCCGTTTCAGATGGATAAGTTTTACCACAACTACTTTGTAATACTGTATAGTGAAGAGAATGGAGAGACCCATCAGGTTTCAGGAATAAACTTCTCTTCACAGAGGACTTAAAATTCACAAGGTGACTTTTCTGGCAAGTGGATTGGCTTGTTGCTCCAGCTACCAGAAAGTATGCATTCTTTATGAATGTGAAAGCAGTGATGGGAACCTTGGAATAACAAATTTAATGTTGTTCTTACACTGCCAAAGACCTTTTCTGCCAGTTCAGCCTCCTTGAGAAGCACAATTCAAATCATTTGGGCCTTTAGATTAATGGGAGCAAAGAATTTGTTGTTAGCCAAGACCCATTCTTGCTGGATTGTCTGACTGTGATAACCTTATTGATCAGCTTGGCCCGCAGTTTGCGCTGAGCCACATGCATTTATTTGATACCCCAAATCAAATATGAGGTTAGTTCACTTTGAATACTTTTTGAAATTGATTAACAAACATAAAGATGGTGGTTTATCCCTTTCCTCAGAACCATGGTGTAGCAGTGTAATGATGACAAAACCCGCTGTATTGTACAAGTAACTTTGAATACTTGGATAATCTGAAAACTAATGGTCTTTGGTCACCATGTCAACGTACATTTGTAAAGACAGATTGTTGCTGTTTCTTACCTGTGCACAGAGGGACATCACATTAAAATCAGGAAACAGTATTGAAACAGTTTCCCTCAAAACCATTTCTATTTTTTTTCTCTAAGATTTTAATAGCATTTAATTTGATCCACTTGTTTCTTTTCTTAGACTCCACTGTTTGGGGGTCATTACACACTTAAATGCCAGGGAGAGTGTTGTTTTGTTATATTTGCATCAAGTCTTTCAGGTGTTTAGGGTTGTTTATTTTTTTTCTTGCTGAGAGATCGGAATGTCACCGTCACTGTTATACAAAGCCTGTCAAGCAGGATAAGAACTTACATGGAAATTATGACACAAATCTGCCACAGCTGAGTGACCTCCTTCCTTACTCCACTTCTTCACATTAGTAAAAGCACATTCCTCAAGAGCTAGGCTGATGTCCTTGGTCAAGGTTACCTTGAAATCTGCACGGTATTGATATGGCATGCTACTCACAACTGTGCTATCTACTTATTGGATTTCACCTAGGAAGAATGCTGTGTTTGGCAGAACACAGCTGAGATTGCTGTTTGTGTAAAGGGACTTTGAGACCCACCATCAGATAACTTTGATGTTGGGGACTCCAGTTTGAGTTACAAAAGGTGTGAATGAATGCATGGACTGTCACTCTAAGTTAGAAAAGAAGCTACCCGTTAGTAATTGAAAGTTTTTCAGATGTGTAGTTCACTCGCATGTTTGCCTTCTATTTGCCTTTCTTCCTCTTTCACAGCCCAGTACGCTTCTTTCTTACCTTACACATTAAGAGAAATGGATTTTATGTGTGTGTTCTGATGTGCATGCCATGCAGGCTGGTTTTGAATTCCTGTGTTGCACTGTCACCCCAAGTTAGGATGGCCACCTGAACTTTCCATCTTCAGAGTCTTTATTGCTAGGTTTCTCTCTATTTTCCAAAACAAAAAACCAGCGTGATGCAGTATAGAGAAAATTCTCCAAATATGACCCAAATTGCATGTGGCAGTTCTACAGATTTCAGATAAGGACATAAAAGGTAGAAGGTAGACAAGCATTTATTAAATTGTATTACCTGAGATCGCTTAGAGACATTTTGCTAGAGGAATATCAACATGGCAGCCTTAGGGTCTGGGAATCTGTTTTTCTCCAAAGGCTACAAATACACTTTTTGAATTTCAGAAGAACATTTGTTTGATTTTTTTGTTGTTGTTGTTCTTTTTTTTTTGTTAAATCTCCAAATAACAATTGATTACTATGTTGAATACAAAGTCTTGCCTGTATAGTATGATGAAGGGAAAACTACAGGTAGGGGGTTGTAATTTGCTTGAATTATGTGTTAAAATGCTAGGAGTTTGAAGCGAGGTATGGTTCTATCTTAACTGATAGAACTTGTAGTTAACCTAAGAATGAGAAGAAAGCACCCATAATGTCTTGTATTTGTGACAAATACATTTGAATAAAAAAAAATATTGAACTACAATTGGCAATCTTCTCTAAAGGCAAATATGAAATGTCATCCATCTGTGACCTGTAAGAAATGAAGGAGTCTTGCAAGCTGTATCCTACTCAACTTTCACGTTGTTTATAATGTTTTATGATGTAGTATATAAATAAGCAGTCAGTGCTACTGCTGTGTCTCAGTGCAAGGACAAACTCCGAGACTAGCATGCAGTAACAGTATCAGTCCTGCTGATATGATGCTTTGAAAAACTAGAATTGTAACTTACCACTACAAAAAACAGTACAGTGCAGTGCTTTCTCTGGGTGGAATGTTTATTGCAGCTTTAGAATTGAAGTTTAAAGTATAACAAATATAATGACCAGATGGGCAAAACCCCTCTCCCAGCACAGCTTGTAGACTCGTTATGTAAGAAACATCAAGATAAAAACAGAGTACTATGACTGGTATTCTGTGGGGGAAAATCTTGTTAAAAATAATGGGATTTTAAAAGATGTTTTTACAGTCAATAGCACTATGCAATATACTGTAGTAAATACTTCTGTTTTGGCATGCACCTGAAAGGGAATATATTGGAGAACCTTTTTTTTTTTTTTTTTTTTTTTTTTTTAAATTGAACTTAGGTATAACTTTACCAAGAATGTAGTACAGACTTTTATGTCCTAACATAGTTTTTTTTTTTCTCCCCATAAATATGAATTTAATTGTTAGCAAATATTCCTATTTCAGAACTGAAGAAAGACCAGTTAAGAAAAGAAAAATGCAAAGCTGCAGCTTTCAAAAGAAGAAGCTAAAATTAATGGAGGCCATGTTGGAAGAACAAAAGAAGTTAAGCAGAGCTATGGAAGAGACCTGTAGAGAAGTGCGCAGGATTCTGGATCAACAAAACATCATTCAAGTTCAAAGCTTACAGCTACAGGAGAGAATGATGAATCTACTGGAGAAAATGATTTCCAAATCCAATGTGTAGTTTCCCCTTGTGAATGCCTCTGAGATTATTATTGATATTATAGACATCCCCTTGCTACACACCTTATGTGTGTCTGTTGCCCTATTCCCTGGTTTTCCATGGAAATTAAAACCTTAGTGTAATCTTAGATAAGCAAAGAGAAAAGATAATGCAGTGTGAGGGCTATCTGGCATGAAAAAAATAGTGCAATATATGCCTAAGTTGAATTATTTTTATACAGAAAGAATAAGGGATGAAGCTCTGGGAACTTCAGTACTATTATGCCTAGGTCAGATATTGTTTTACAAACAGATGTGTTGTATATTTCTTCACATCAAGGACCATACCCTGACCTGTTGTAGGGGAACAGAATAATGTGTTCCTAGAAATGCTAATTGCATCTTGACTTTGCTGTTGATTAAACCTTGTTTTGAAACATAAACAGTGATTGTTCAAGTGACCTATGGTTCTTGTGAAGAGCTACTTGGGACGACGAGATGCATCCTTTTAAACTCTATGCCTGGTATGAATAGTACTCTAAAGTATGAGGGTAAAAATAGTCTATTCAAATACAGTTTTCATAAGCAAACAAACAAATCCTTACTATATACTGAATACTAAAATGTATAGAAGATACTTGAAGTTGCTTTTGATATTAAATGTTTAATTTTTTTCATTATTAACTGGAATCTGTTGACTTAATGAACAACCAGCAATGAAAACTCTCATTTATTCTCTATCACAGAAAAAAATATTGTACTGTGTGTATATACATATATATATCTATCTATCAAATGAAATAAAGAAAAAGAAGAAACATTTATTATTTCTGGGTTAGACAGTATGCTTTGGGACAGTGAAAAATACTGGGAGAGATAATCACAGTCAAAGGTTTTAATTATTGATTGCAGTGTAAAGATATCCTGTGCTGGTGGCAAACTACATAGATGGAAGTCATGAAGATCATTCAACACCTCTACACCAGTATTTGCTGGTGGTGCAAATCTGATAACACAAGTAGATGTTTAAGGTGTGGCTGCAAGGCAGATCAACATTGATATACCACAAGAGGGAGCTGAAGGCATAAAGGATTGTACTTAAATCTTTGAGATGAATTACTAGAAAGTGATTCTTTAGTGAAAGGTAATATTGAAATAACATTTAACATACTTTCAAAAGTTCCTCAGCTGAATTCCTATATACATTTCTTTTTGCTTTCTCCTTTAAGAGCATATTTCTACTGCTTTCAATGTATTTGCAAGGCTGAGTACCTAAGGTTAGATTCAGATATAGAAGTCTAATGTCAGTGCTAGGAAATAAGGCCATCTTCCATTTTCACTATTAAATAATGTCTTCTCTTGAAACATTATTTTTGAGGTTTGCATTTTTCTATATATTTTATCTTATTGTTAGCTAAACTAATGTTATCTAAACTATTTTAAAACTCAGACAAATTATTAATCTGTAATTCTGTTTGGTGAACAGGATAAAGACTGTACTCATCAAAGAAATGAATAATAGATGGAAATATTTCTTAAAGGCTGCTGAAGGTATGAAGATAAGAATAATGCAGCTCTAAAACATGATTACTGTATATAAATGTAGTCAATTTCTACTGAGTTTAATTCATATAAGGCTAATGCAAACATAGTAGAAGACAGAACCTGCAGAAAATGGTGCTTGATCAAAGATAAGTGAAATAATTCTCCTTCACATTCTACTCCACTCTACTCCAGTGAGTGGGTGACTGAAAAAAGGACAAGTGTCTGGCCTGATTCTGCAAAGACAGGGTGAAATTATACAGCTTACATTTAGTAAAAGTGAAACTCCAAATACTTTTGTGTACCTAAAATTGACTTAGTTGGCTCTGAAAGAGAATCATGAAACCTTACTATGTGTCTACCTGCACAAGTACTTCTAAAAGAAGGACTGTTCCTAGTGTCATATAGGTGAGTATTGTCATACGTGCACATGAGGGAGGGAAAATATGTTTTGTGCTTTTGCATATTCCAGTTGTAGATGTGTTATTGACATAGGTAGGCTGAATTCTGTGGTGCTTTCTGACTTTATCTGGTTTACAAGAAGATGTAAAGAAACTCTCCCTTGACTCCATGGGAAATAATAATATTTACTGATATTATTTACACGGACCATATAACCATTTAATCCAATTAATCAGCAATGCCAGTGGCAGCATATTTGAACTTTGTACTGTGCCCCTCTCCCTGCATGCTATAAGAATTACAATTCCGGAGCTGAAGGAACACAGGAATGAAGGAAATCTGATTCTTTGCCTGCTACCATGAGCAGCCACGTCATACAATCCCTTCTGTAAATGCGTGGAGCTGTATTTTAGGATGTGTCTTGCCTCCAGAATTACGAAAGAACTGCCTTACAGATGGGTAAACTGCAATTTAGAAGACTGTTTCTAAGATTATTCCAGGTCAATTTATACCTATTGTATTTACAGATTTTGCTGCTTCTTCAGTGATTAATCCTGAGAGACAGCAGTCAAATCACATGCAGACCTTCTTCAGAAAAATAATGCTCTTTTCTTTTGCGTGGTAGAGATTATTTTGATGACTGTTTTGCTATTTTTTTCTATTTGATGTCATCCTTCTTGGAAATGAATGACCAGAATAATATACAGGATTCTAGATGAGACTCTGAAGAGTCCTACATTAACTGCATTAAAAGAAGTGTCATTTTTTGGAGGCTGGGAGGTTTTATTTTTGTACAAAGTACCATTTTTAATCACTTATTTCTTTTTTAATCTTTTAACAAAAGACTCTATTTCCATTTTGCCAGACTATCTGTATTCTAGCCCTGTTTCTGTCCAGAGAGTGAATACAGCACTGCTGCACATAAATCTGACTAGTTTCATGTACAGTAAATTTTTCTAATGCTTTTTCTGATAACAAGTTAAGAATTCCCTGCTTACATAGTTTATTTTTGCTGCTGTTTGTTTTATTTTAGTAATGACTGAACATTTACATGAAAAATTAGGCCATGTAATTTCTCTGGTTTTATTTTTGAAGGTAGACACAGACTTCTCATCTATATGGGGTATATGGGACAGTTAGCTGCAGGTAAAGATATTTGAATATTTGAGATGTTCAGACCAATTATAACTTGAAAGACCTGCCTGGAATTAAAAAGCTTGTTAGAATTCTTGCAAAAGCGAGACACTGCTTCTGGATCTGTACATGTATGTCGGGAGTAGGGAGATGAGAAGGTAATAAGTTTTCAAGGAGAGCACATGAGGGGTTACTCAAGTTTAGCATTGTAACTATGACATTAAAGGAACTCGCTCATGGTTTCTAGAAGTATGATCAACAAATAAGCTGTAGCACACGAAAACAAATTTGTTATTTTTAGGGCAGTACTCAAGTCAACGCAGTATGATATCACTTTCACTAAATGAAGCTCATGTATTACATACACAGATGGTGTAAATAGAAAAAATAAGTAGGGGAGGAAATAGACTGCCTGGAGGCAGGTTACTTTGTAAGTGATGTAAAAATAGAATGAAGAGAAACCTGAGGAGACAGATGAGAAAAAGAGACATTGGGAGGTGTGCAAGGAATTGAGTAGAAGGGGGATGTGATGAAAGGTGAAATGTTACATCATGGATGAAATATGTTGGGAAAGGGGCAAATAAATGCCTTCAAATAAAACTACTAATTATGAGGAAGAGAAGGAACACTAGATTTAAACACTTGATTTAACAACAGAGCTAATAGTGAAACTGTGTATTTTGAGTAGACATCTACAGATAAGTTAGATGAGTCAAAAATAGCATAGAGTAAGTAGTGACATTTTTTTCTCATGATCTCTGGACGAATATTTGGAAACAAATATATTGTTCACAAACCAGAGGGGTTAAACAATTTGTAAGAGGATTCCATTATAATTAAACAGCATTTTCACATGTTGGCAGAAACATTTACTGTTTGTAATTAACTGAATTATTTTTTTATCCTTGATTTCATATTGGAGGGGCAGTTTATTTCAGACCTTGCCAAGTTTAATAGTTATCCACCAAAACAGGCAATATATTTATGGACATGGAATGTCTTTATCATTTTCTCCATAAATGGCTATCTATCTCTTTTGCAAAGTACAAAACCAGGAGAAAAAGACATGCACACAATTTTTAAAGTTATTTTTCCGGACTGTCTGCCCAATTCAATATAGGCAAAAAGAGCCTATGTCTCAATGCAGACGTACCTTAAGTTGTCAGCCTGTCACTAGTCCTTACTAAGTCTCTAGTAGTAAGGTCAATGGCACTACTCATATGAATAAATTTAATGAACTGTGTGTGTATAAGTTTCAAGGATCAGTTCCTATGCTGATAATGTAATGCGGAAGGCAAATTTGAAAAAGAAATTTAGGAACATTTGGTGGTGTTATGTCAGCAAGTAAATACTAACCATCTGGTCTCTAGATTGCTAATCTATTTCCCCTGATTTTATGGGTAGCATACTTCCTGTGTGTGCAAGCTTGAGACTACATCATTAAACTTCTGTATTGATCTTTTAAAGTGTTTTACCAGAAACATTTAAATTACTTTGCCACTTTGGGGTGAAATGCTGTTTTTATGCATAATTTTTCAGATTGGAAATATTTAATTCTCCTATGTGTTATTTTAAAGTGTCTTACTGAAAGACATTTTAAACGAGGATGAATAATTTCAGGTATTTTCTTTGAAAAACAGACCAGTTATCTGCAACAAACACCATCCAGTTATCTAGAGTTGGCTAATTACTACAAATAAGATTTCAGTTTGATCCTGTTTGAGAGCTGTATCTTTGTCAAATGTTTGCTATGTAGAGAAAGGTGTTGCTTGCATTCCATATCCGTTGTCTAGCTTTAAAACATTTTTTAAAGAAATAGAAAGCAGCACATGCCAAAATATATTTTAAAGAAACTGCCTTCAGTCATCTGGAAATCAATCACTGTTTTAATTCTCTTTAACTTCTGTTGTCTCGAGTTTTGCTTCTAACATCAGGTTCTAAGAATTTGGCAACCAATTCTTAAAATGTTTAAAATGCTAAAAAATATATATCTGAATTTGGATTCTGTAAAATTTGGCATCTGTAACATTTTCAGTGAAAGTCTGACTTCCTGATCATATCTTGTTATCTCAGGGGTAAGGTCTGGGTTGCTGTGTATTGTAAGAAAAAAGAGTTGGTGCATAAAATTATAAAGGTATAAAATTTTCTACATACTTAAATGTTGAGAAGCACTTATCACAGCTTGAAGTAGGCTTGTTTCATGGAGGGAAGCTATAGGAATGTAATTTTTTATGAACTAGAAAGTAAATATATTTAGAAAATTAATTAAAACTACTTAAAAAACTCTCCATGATCCTCATTTGTCCCATGTCCCATGCCTCCCCTCCCCGTTTAATGATAATTACTTTATCTTTACTTCAATATAATTAAATCAAATACAGTTTCCTTTATCGACACATAAAACCTTGTTCACGTGAACTAGGTGTTAACTCTAATGGTATACGTTCTTTAAACTGATATGGGTAGACTTTAAATACTTCTTCTTCAGTTGGCTTAACTTGTTACTTCACTAGACAAAGATGAAACACACCAGAGGTAAATCTTTCATAAAAAAATAAAGCTGTCCACACAGGGCTTAAATCTATACATCTCACCGGGATGCAGGGATGTCAGCCTGTTTAGGGCTGGTTCACATCGGCTAACAGGCAGTAAAAACCATGACTGAATTTTACCACAGGCATTAATACAGCTTACACCAGAAACCCTGTACTTTGCTCGTGTCTCCTTGCTGGCAGGAACTTCTGGT